AACCAATATGGACTTATGGTATCCAGCTATTTGGTAATGTTAGTATTTCAAATATTGAAATTATCCAAAGAGCTCAGTCAAAAATACTGAGAACAATCACTGGGATACTGGGACATATCCCGGGTTTGAAAGTATCCACCGAGATCTACAAATATCTTCAGTTGCTGAATTTGCAATATAAGAAAAAATCACAATAAAAGGCTGACAGAACATGTTAATCCCTTAGCAAGGAAACTCGCACTTCTATTCATTACTGACCGTCCAGCCTTTAATTAGTACTTAATAGCCTTAAGTAAAAACCGCAATTTTCTTTTTAGTAATCTGAAAATGTTGAACTGCTTTCTTAATAAATGTTAATCACTCCAATGATTCACACATTGATCTAAGCGAGGTTCGTGATATAAGGTTTACTTATTTTATTTTATACAATGTATAGTTAAAATAAAAGTTTGTGATATTATGTAATTAGTGATAAAATATCACAACTTATTTTAGTCTCATTGTAAGATCTTCTCTTGTAGTAAAAAAATGTATGTTTAAACAAAAAAAAAAATAGCCTGTAAAAATTAATACACCCAATATCCAAAATGTTATATATCAAAAACTGTTGATATATCCAATATTTTGTATATCAAAACATATATTCTCACTCCAAGTAAAAGTTTATAGTTTGTTGTGTTATATGTCCAATATCAAAATAAAGTTGTCAAAATTCTCTTATTTCTTTAATAATCATTATGTATTAAACATTTTCTTCTTGATTCTTGTACACAGTCTTATTATTTTTTGCTACACATTTTTTGTTTCTTCAATCTTTGAGTTACATCTCTCTTAAAATCTTATTATTGGTAACACAATTTTTATTCAAGTCTTTACCAATTAATTTATTAAATTTAGTTACACATTTTGTTTGAATCTCAAGTGTTTGCTTATTCCTTACGAAGACTTAATCCGTTTGGATTATAACGGCTTTAAAATACTTTTAAAAACTCTTAATTAAGATAGACATCCACAACTTATCAAATCCTTAACAAGAGTGTGTAATGGAACTACTCTTAGGAATAGAAAACTAAAACAGGCTCTTCTTTAAGAATACCTATTCTTCTTACTGCACTCAGATTATTCATTCTCAGATTTACTGAATCTCTGATCTACTGCCTAATTAAGAAAGTAGACTCTATATATATTGAGATGCTTTCACCTATGCTTAAAACTTTCACTAATGTGACCTTTATATTAGACATGCCCCATTAACCCAGATAATATTGAAAATTAATTAAAAATTAAAATTTATTTTGTGATAATAATTTTGCGTAATTTGCAATCTTTACCTTGCCAAAATTCCTCTTTTTTCAAAGTCATTTATATATTGCCACAGATTATAAATATTAACAAAAATTTTCTACTGACTTTTCGTTTTTTTTGCTAATATTTATTTGCAGTTGCAAATAGCTTTGCCTAGTTTTAGGTGCTCTTAGATCGTATGTGACCATAAAGACTGCTATGGTATGTTCAGGGACAAAACCCCAAAACCAATGTATAAGGTAGAACTGCTGCCAAATGCCACAAAATAATATGTATTTTAAAAACATCTTTTTTTAATTAAGGGTTATATTAGTGGTCAAAAATAAAAATTTTTAATTATTTAAATTATTTTTAAAATATCTGACTAATAACCATTACTATCAAATTAACAAAATTTTTTAAAATTCTACTAAATTCATGAAACAGAATGAAACTTGGAAGATGTTAATCTACTCTTTAGATCCAGGCAAGAGAAAACATCAACAAAAGTAATGATTTTCTTCGCCAGCGGAAGAGTTGTGGATGATTATTTTCTGAGAACTGGGTAGTTTTCTTGAATTTGTGAAAATATGAGGAGAAAATGGAACTGTGCCAATACTTTCTATTTAATGACGGAGCCAAGCGAACAACTTCATTGCACATTCATTGATTGAAGAACTCGCCCGTCACTTCATCGGAGTTCTCCTGATGAAGGCAAAAGCGAATTTGCCAAATTATGCATAGAAATATACTAAAAATAACGATCGAAATAAAAGTTAAAATTCTTGAAAAAACAAAACCGACTACAAGGAAGGGTTTTTAATAATAATAAGAAGATCGTTACTAAAGTTAAACTCAAAGTTGCTAACTCAAAATAAACCGATGGACTGTAGAAAGAAATATTTTCCTCCTTTAAAGGTGTGCAGAAATTAATGGAACTTTTGTTTGTCCCGTCGTATAAATTAAAAACAAAAAGTGCAACATCAAATACACCTAATATTATTTATAATCGTTATAAGTGTTAACATTGTGTACACTTCCCATAGATTCTGTTACATGATTAATAACCAGAGCATAATATAGACAAATCTGGGGAGGAATATGAAAAAATTGATTCTGTAATAGATGTGCAAAGGAATAGGGTACTTTAACTATAGTGTGTGAAAGGAAATTTTTCGTACCGAATTTCTTTCACTGTTGACGCTTAGTTTTAGCAAAGGATATAGCAGTGCTAATAAAACAAATTTTTATATCTGAAATTGTAACAGGCCGACCCCCAATTTTTTACAAATAATAGAGGTATTATTATCACCTATATATGATGTAGTGATGGATACTACACCCATAATATTACTAATTACTTCAGCATCAATTTGTAAATACAAGTCTGGATGATATGTCGATTTAATATGATGGGTTTCAATTTGAATTATATATTCGAATTTAATATATATTTTATAATAAAGTCCCAAATTGAGAACTTATTTAGAAATTAATTTTTATGATGAACATTTTGCAAGCACTATAATAATAATAATTGTATATTTTATATATTGAAATTATTATTTAAATTATTATCAAAAAAATTTGATTTGTGATCACTTGATTTTATTTGTTTAAATATACATCTAGGTTTTTGATTCTAACCGGGCTTAGGTCGTTTATTAAACAAATAAAAATCATAAAAAAATACACTTATTTATTAATGTTAAAATATTCTTATTGAATTTTTAAAATATTTATAATGCAGATATATAAATATTTTTTATCTTTATTTTTTATTTTTTATAAATATTTTTTTAAAAATATAATAAAAATATTTTTACATTTTTTTTTTTTTT